TCTGACCATTCCCTGTGAACTGCATTTGGTGAGAGTCTGAAGGAAAAATTCCTGTTAAACAGGAAGAAACCTCTGGCTGAACCATTTTCATTGAAGGAGCAGTCATCTGACACAACCGTTGAGGGTGACTCCTGGGGAAAGAGAAGAGCTGAAAAGAGAGCATAGAGAGAGGACAAAACTTAATGATATGTAGTAGTAAAACCTCCTCCCAAGGAGTCTGAGCCTATACCAGCATAACTAAGGGATGCTTCAGGGTCGCTTGATCCAGCCCTAACTATAATCTTTATCAAAAAGGAAAGTTTAAAGTTTGATCTTAAAAGTAGGAATTCAACTTGGGAGTTGGTTCCAATGGAAGGCAGGGGGGTACTTCTAGAAACAGTAGGAACTTCAAGTAAGCCTGCTGGGATAATATGAAACTATGAGCTCTTTAAGACTTTGTATCTGATGAGGTTTTAATATCAGAGAGACATGAAAGGTACCTACCGCCCTGTGAGCCTAAATTGGTTAAGAGGTTAAGAAAATGGATGGATGGATGGTTGGATGGTACAGTATATATACATAGTATAGTATATATGCTGTGTTGGTCAAATAGCTCTTACATCTGGTCTGTGAAGGACCTGGTGCTTAGACAAAGAATTTCCACTGAAGTGAGGGTCCCACCTGGTGTCCATGTATGACAAGCATAATCTGTAACGTGGCGTTTGAGGTCTGCAATGCAGTGGGAAAAAAATCTGTCTTCTAACAAAGGCAGCAGTGTGTCAGCATCATTTGAGTCTCAGTCCAGGAATTTTCTTTCATGTGGAGCTGACGTGTTTCCTCCAAATAGCAAAAACATGAAACTCGGGCACTTTTACAGTCTAAAATATGCAAACTAGTCTAGAAACATGTTTATTTTCACTCACCAGCACCCAAAGCTGGCAGCTTGGTTTCCAGGCTTTAGCCCTTTGTGACCTTTGACCAGAATCGGCAGGTACAGCTTAAAGAATTGAATTAATGCTGGCAAGCATAACAAATGGTTTCGGAAAGGAAAGATATATCACCACCATCTGGTTTTTTTTTTAACAGCTTCTTCCTTTAACTGAATATAGCGGCTGTTCCTTTTCTTAAATACTGAACCATGGACGAACTTTGAAACATGTGCTTAACAACGATCTGCTAATCAACCACATTACCAACAGGAGACAGGTGGGACACTGGGAGGCTTTTTATACACACTGATTTATGCAGGATAACAAACTGAGTAAATTGTACCAGAGAGTTTCAGTCATATGTAATAAATTTGAATACAGCTGAACAAATACAGGCTATAAAAGCTTTTGGGGGAAATCAGGTTTTCTGCTTCCTCTGAAGGGCATATTACTCTACTGTAATTCTACTTTAGCTTTTGCTAACACACCTAGTAGCACACCTTTTTTCTTCAATTGAAGGATTTTTTTTTTCATATTTTGAAAGGTAAAATCACACCTTTTATCTTAGTCCACACACAGCACCTCCAAAGTTCACTGCTTGTATCACATTTATTAAATTTGCTTTAAGTGTAGAAGGTGAAAAGTTATCTGTGGAACTTCTAAAGTGGTGTAAAAATACAAACTATGATTGTTATTATTATGCTTTAGCTTTTGCAGAGATTTTGTGTAGCTGTAGGGTCTGTTGGTAGATTTTATCACTTGTGGTTAAACGATGGCCATAGTGGAGATGATACAACCTACTGACACGACCTTTGACACTGCACTCACACATTGTTTGCACACAAATTACCACCGGCTGCAGCAATCATCAAGGAGAGAAATAAAATTGTTCTTATTGAATTGCAGGAAACTGCAGAGCCAACAGTTTATATTTGATTGTGCATTCAACGTTTCATAAAAAAAATGCCAGATAATGTTAAATGATTGTGTATATAATTAATTACTGCACTTAATAACAAAATTATGTACAGCTGGGCTGCATAATTACTGGTGGTTTATCTTTCTAATCATGCATGTAAACATTTGGCATGCAACATGTGCAGTGATGGTTGAAAATATAGATTTACAACAATATTATGATGGTATGTACAAGTTTTGATAGTATTTTGTAGTACTTGCCTGTAATTTGCATGAAGGCCACCAACTTGTCTGCAAACAGTCACCAGCTACTCACAAAGCAGTAGTTGTGTTATTGTAGGGTCATTGCCTTACAATATAAAGCGCCTTGAGGCAACTGTTGTTATGATTTGGTGCTATATGAATAAAACTGAACTGAAATTGAACGGAAATAGTGGATCTGTAAAAAATGCTATCCGAACTGGAAACTGAGAGCATTAAAACCTGTACTGCAGTGCTACAGCCAACACATTTGAAAAAGTGTAACTTTTACTTTGAAAGAAAATGGTCTCCGTTTCCAGTTTGCATCGCATTTTTCACAGTTTCACAACCACTTGGAGAGTACTTGGGGAATGTTTGCAGAAAAGTGGGTAACTTCCATTTGCTAGTGCCCAAAGCAATCACAGTGAGGTTTTTAAACCATCTTTGCAACCAATTTCACCTTGAAACTCCCAACAACCACTTGCCAACCAGACTGGGAGTACAGATTTGTGGTTGCCAGGGGATCACTGACTGGTCTCTAGGCCTGTCTGACTGGGGCCTGATCACTTGATAGTGTCACACGTCCAAAACAGCAGTCATAGTTATTGTTGTGTGGTTAGCAGTCATGTGACTGAACAGAAATTACCCCTTTATTCCAGTCTTTGTAGTAAGCTAAGCTAACGGGTTGGTGTCTGGAAATCAATACTTTGCAGAGGGGTGTTAATCTCCTCATCTCCGCGCTGGCAGGAAAGCAAACAGTATTTTACATAATGTTTCTGGTAACATGTGCATCTTCTGCCCTGTTTAATTTGAGCAGAACGTTTTGTGAGGAACATTGAAAAGAACAGGACGGAAAGAGAGAAATTCCAGAGAGAAACATAAGCCAAGCTGCTCGGTGCCAAACACACACATGCGAACACACAAAATTCTTGTGCTCGCTGCCTGTAGCACAGAGACAGGCAGTGATACCATCTTGCTTACAGAAATCGCATCAACACTTCTCTAGCTTTTTGCATGCTATCTTTCTTACCATCCTTCCTATCTCAGAGGGAATATACCTTACACTCAATCTGTCAGCACCATAGTTCTCCCTGAGCACCAGCTGAATGTCTAATTACAGAGATGAGGAGCGGGTTGGGTAGGTGTTCTTCTCGGGTGACATTTGCTCTGAGGACAGCAGCGACAGACAGACTTCTGTCTTTGGTGGGAGATTCTTTGGCTTCCCTGAAAGCACCGTCTCTGTGACTGGGAGCTCTGTTTTCTGCAACAAGTCGTCGAATAGTGTCACTCCAGGGCTTCCCAAATTCCACAGGTTGACAGATTCGAAAGACCTCTGGAAATCAAGGTCAGAGGACGCGGTGAACTCTGCAGCTAACATGCCCTAACAGTCGTCTGCCTGCCAGCTAGAGTGTCTGAGTGCGCTGAAGTTGGTCTTCAAATTTATCTATCTTTTGGCACGCATGAAAAGTGTGATGCCAGGAACAAGATTTTTCTTGCTATGGTGTAGCTGTGGGCTACAAAGCTCAACACCAGACACTTATTATGATATGAAAATGAACACTTATATTCTGTGACTAAGTCGGTAGAGGAGAAACAGTAATCAGGAATGGTGATTCATGGAAGTGAATGTTAAGTCTTCATGTCACAACAGAGCTACACTAAAGATATTATAGTGGGGAGAGTGTTATGGAAAGAAACAGAAAGAGTTTTTCTAATAAAGGGAATTTCCCATTCCCTCCAAAATGACATATATAAACTATATGTCCAGTGAGACTTATATAATTTCCCCCATGCAACAAACAGAATGCTCACATATTTAATACTAAGTCATATAATCACATGTATAACAAAAACTTAAAAAGTAGGCTGCTTTTATTGGCGATTTATATACAGTTATGTTTGGTAGCTTACATGCACTCACCATGGGCATGAAGTTCGAAGACCAGACTTTAAAAAAGTGGTGACACATCAGAATGACTGGTACTGACATGTTATTTTTTAAACTGATGATCTTGAAATCTGCAGTTGTTTAGAAATGGCTCAGTGAGACCTTCCAAGCATGTGTAAATATACAGCTCTCCTTCTTATGTCTTCACTGAGGTCCTTGGACTTTCCCATTGTTCTGAGTTTTGGTTGATACAATGAGTGCTGTCAAACAAATCCTTTTTCATGCTGGCAAAGAGAAGCTATCAGTTGTTTTCAATCATGATCACCAATGAGACTCTAACAGGACAAGTTTAGAGATATTGTAGAACCTTCTGCACCACTTAAAAGATTTAAATTATTGTATGTATATATGTGACCCTGTGTGAATGAGACACAATCTAAAATAAACGTAAACTTATGCACACATTGTTTTTTAGAGTCATTAAAGATGCATGCTGTAAAAAGCCCCAAATTACCATGGCATTCACGCCCACAATGAGTGCATGCAAATGTCTGACCAGAACTGAAAGCCTTAGGAGATTTACAATATGTACTGTCGCCAATATACTGCTTGCTCAAAGGAAGTTGTTTGATTTTTGGGGTTTTTGCTCTATTATTGTATTACAATATGAAGCACCTTGAGGCAACTGTTGTTGTGATTTGGTGTTATTTAGCTAAAATTGAATGAAATTGAATTGAACTGAAACTTTCTTGCTTTAAATTGAGATTTTTGGGCAGCCTGAAGAACATTCAGTAGAAAGATGATTTGTGATTTGACATTTATCATGTAAAACTTTTCATGTATTTTTTAAAAGAAGGAAAACTTTATAAACCGTTTAAAACCAGTACCATTCAGTCAAAAAGTCCGTTTAACTCTGTCTTATGATTAAACCTGTAAAACTACAGCGCGTGCTGCCCCTCGGCACCCTGGCAGGCGGGAAATTGAGGGGCACTAGGACCGCGAGGCCGGCCGGTGCATGAAGAGAAAACACTTGTTTTCAGGCTCGAGGTTTTATTTGTGGCGCTCAGGCTGAGCAGAGCAGGTTTCACGGCACGCCCCGAGACTCGCTCCACACCTGGAGCTGCATGTGCACGCGCTGTAAAAGAGCCTATGAGATTTACCTGTCGGAGGTGGGAGAAAGTAGCTAACCTGTCAGCGCAGAGGTGGAGGACATCCTGGGGAAATGATCCCGAAGGAGTCGTCTGATGGGGAGGAGAACTTGACTGGGATGTAAACACGGACTATCGATCTGTAATCAGGAGGTAATAATGGGAGGCTTGGCTGAGAACTGCTGCTGTGTCTCTACTGGGACACATAAAGCGCTAAACTCGAGTTACATTCACATTTACGAATTATTTTTGTACGTGAACAATTTCCTGAATGAGGTGGTTGAAAGATTTTCTAAGAAGTTTTTTAAGCAAACTTTGAGCTACGGTCCATCTCACTGCAGCATATGATCTATATGGACTAGATCAGATGCTGATCGGGAAGTTTTCTGCAGGGTTTTAGATACTTGCCTTGGATGATTGTAGATATTTAAACTGTTCTAAATGACTTGTTGACCTATAATCAGCTAAACAAGTCTCTCACGAATGATAACCAGACATTTCAGGAACAAGGTAAAAGCTGAAATCAGTTTTTGGCAAGGTGATTTTTATATATGCTTTAAAAAATCTCATTGAGATTAAAAATCTTCTTTTCTGGAAAGACCTGGGGTCAGCAGAAAGGGCAACAAATATGATATAACAGCTCTATAAATATATTTTAAGTGTAAAAAAAAAAAGGAAATGGATTGTTTGTAATGTAGGACACAGCCATTTCTTTATCTTATCCTAACTGCTTACCAAAATAAGTAAAAACAAATCCAAACATCAGGACTCACTTCCTGTAAGGGCTAGACTTTGATATGCGATACAAAAACTGTTTGCACTTGGTCTGCTCAAAGACACACCATGATCTCAGGTTATTGCAGTGGCCACAAAGCCACACCTTTCCCACCATCTTTCCTCCAGATTAATGTGTCTTTTCCCGTGTTTTCATCTTTATTTATTTTCTATCAAAATAGTTCTCTAAAACATTCAACATTAAACAAAAGGCTGTGAAAAGACAACTATTTCATTTATTTTACATCCTAAAACGTGGATTACACGTCTTCCCAGGCTGTTACCACTTTGAATGTCCTCACAGCTGCCATGGAAGGATATTTGTACTTTCCCAGCTTACAGGATCCCTTTGCTGCAGCTCTACCTCCGTTACAGTGCTTTATGGGGCAGCTCATAGGTGTGTGGACAGGCCCCACCCTGTCTTTAGTTAGGAGTAATGCTCTGTTCTGCTGCCCTGCCTGGACTTGTAGCCTTTTCACTTTTTTTACACACCTGCTCTCTTCGTGCCATGAGTGCCTGGGGATCCACAGTCTTTAAAGGGGATCAAGTGTCTGCTTATCCCTGCTAATCTTCCCTGAAAGCCCGAAAGCCTTGTGTACGCTGTAACATAGTTAATGTTTAATGAAAAATACCTCCTTACATCCGAGTGCCTTTAAAAACTCTCAAGTTTGTTAAAGAAGTTTAACAAACTTGAGTTTTTTAGAGCTTTTTTTCTGACTCTTTCACTGACTTTTCTTTGTAATTTGTCATACATTAAACCACGTCTCTGCTTCCACTGGGCTGAAATCCCATTTTCCTGGTAATCTATATTGAAGGAACAAGAGGTTCATTGTTGCCTCTCCACACCACATGAAGTTCAGGCCTGCGTTGCAACATAAAACTTTCTAAGCTGACCTCACTTGTGGTGTGATTTACAATCAATAATCATCTGAAAACAAGTGCAGATTTATGAAGGGATTAGAGTTTGTGTATTTCTGGGGCATCTTGTTTGGGAATGTTTTCCACATTTGTCGTTCCTGTCAAACGTGCAGGAATCCATGCGATCTCAGAGATGCCTGATCATTTTCTGTGTCCTTTCAGTGTTTTCCATCACCACGATGACGCCGTCCGGGAGCTCCCTCCTGACTCACCTGCTTCTTCAGCTCCCCCTCACCTTCTCTCTCCTCCACCCTCCTCCAGCCCACGTCCCCACGCTGGTCCCTCACGCTCCGACGCCTCTCGCCCGCTCCCGCTTCAGTGCTTACGCTCAGCTGGATTTCACCACTCACTGCAACGCAAGTTGCTTCCACAGAGGAGAGCAGGAAGAGCAGCTCACGGAGAAACTGGCATTCGAGACCCTGTACGCCGACGGCTCGCGCACTCTCACCACGGTAGATGTGGAGGATGACGCAGAGTCAGGAGGAGCTGAACCTTCGCCCTGGAGAGTGAAGCCCAGGCGTGTGAGACGGCAGATCTATGGAGCGGATGGCCGCTTTAACATACAAGGTGACAACTTCCTGTTGGATTACCCCTTTTCCACAGCTGTGCGGATCTCCACCGGCTGCACCGGCGTTCTCGTGTCTCAGCGGCACGTCCTTACAGCTGCACACTGTGTGCATGATGGGAAGGATTATGTCAATGGGGCGCGAAGGCTCAGGGTGGGCTTCCTGATCCCTCCATCTATCAACGGCACAAAAACACACTTCACTTCTGCCAAGAAGCCTCTGGTCCACTGGGTGCGGGTGAGACGCACCCGTGTGCCAAAGGGCTGGATCCAGGGTCCTCAGGAGGTTAGCATGGAGTTCGATTATGCCCTGCTGGAGCTGCGTTGGCCTCACCGTCGTCCCTTCATGCGCCTCTCTGTGGCTCCGTCCTCTGACGATCTGGCAGGCCATCGCATCCACTTCTCCGGTTTCGACAGCGACAGGCCCGGGCAGCTCGTGTACAGGTTTTGTCCCGTGGAAGAAGAGTCCAATGACCTGATATATCAGCACTGCGATGCCCGACCTGGAGCCAGTGGCTCTGGAGTATACGGCCGAGTGTGGGACAACAACTTAGAGCGCTGGGAAAGGAAGGTCATCGGCATCTTCTCTGGACACCAGTGGCTGGAGATAGATGGCGAGAACCGGGATTACAATGTGGCCGTGCGCATCACTCCTTTAAAGTTCGCTCAGATCTGTTACTGGGTTCATGGAAACCGGCTAGACTGTGTCCAGGACTGAGAAAGACCAAAGGCAGGAGGTTTAAAGCAGAGCATGAAAAACACAATAAAGCTCAAAATGACTTAAAAAAAACCCCACACACACAGGGTCAAATATCTGATCCATTTCAACACTGAGTTATTTCTCTCCTGTCTTTAATTTGCTCCCTGTAACCTCTGGGCCTATTAAATAAACCAGCCTGTGAGATCATCAGAACGGCATCTTTTAATATGTTTTCACTCGCAGTCAGATTAATAAGTCAGTGTTTCCACAGCATTAACAGAAGCCACTTTTAACAAGAGGGGGAAAAAACACTAACTCATGTGTGTGTCAGTAGCTGCACATTATTTTCCTACTGTGGACAAATGTAATCCACCAAGGCTGTATTTGCATCTTTCCTGCTCTGGCTTTGGGGACTTGGTTTTTGGTATCTTGAGAGCAGAGACCGTTTGCTGTTCTTGGTCCGGACTGGAAACACAGAGTTTTGACTTTATTTTATTTTTAAAAAAATGCTTGGTATATTTTAATAAACAGAGATTTATAACTGTGTGTGTCCATAGTCTTGACTCTGGTTCAGGAGTGGTGCTGTGCTGCCCTCCTGTGGTCATAACACCTGCTGCCGCTGTGGAGGAGTTTTTTTTTATTGTGGGGCAGAGTTTAGGTAATGAGCTGCCAGTTATTATGGCAGCATTTCTTTGTAATGTGCAAAAACTGAGACGTCTTACTCTTATTAAGATATCTCAGGCTAGGTGGGTGTCAGTAGTTGACATTTAGATGTTCAGATGTGAACATTTTCAAAATCTACTTAAAATTTGTTACGCTTAAATAAAGACAAGCAATTTTTTTCATTTGTTTTTTTTTTTAAGGGTTATTAAGAGATAGTTTCGCAGACTGATCCTGATTAAGAAAAATTCGGCTATATGTGGCCCAGGAACTAAAAAAAGATCGGCACTCCTTGTTTTAGGCTGAGGAATCCAACACAGGAGTGTCAACATGTGACCTGGATGGCTATGCAAACTAAAGACATTAGTGTTAAATTACATGATTTTATTGTATTTATTTTATGATCCGGCTCATTTTAAGGTAAACTGAGCTGTCTACCTGGCTCAGAAACTGCAGTCCAAATTCCAGGTTAGGACACTGTAAAATGCAAATAAAAACAGAACGGTTAACAAATCTCATAAAGCCATATTTTATTTACAATAAAAAGGATGGGCTAAATTGTGAAGATTTTTGAATATCTCATTATCTACAGTACATATTATCATCCACAGATTAAGAGAATCTGACGATATGTGTGCACAAGGAACAAGGATGAAAATCAATATTGCATGCCTGTGATGTTCGGGGACTGAGGCAGCGCTGCTTTAAAAACACCCACGATTCTGTCATGGAAATCACTGCACAGGCTCAGGAGCACTTCCAGAAATCATTGTTTGTTAAAAAAGTTCACTGTTTAGTCCACAAATTTAGCTTAAAGCTCCATCATGCAAAGATGAAGCAATGGAAGCATACATTGCTTCATCTTTGCATGATGGAGCTTCATTGAAAGCTTGCATATTTCAGCAAGACATTGCTAAATCACATACTGCTTCTATTACAACAGTACGGCTTCACAGCTGTAGAGTCCGGGTGCTGAACTGACCTGCAGCCCAGACTTGGGAGTGGCTGAAGCTCAGGAGGTAGAGCAGGTCATCTGTTAATTGGCAGGTTGCCATTTCGATACCTGCTTTGAGTAGAAACGTGCTATGCAAGAACCAGTCATTCTACCGCCAACGGGAAACATTTGGAGACTCCATGAGACAAAATAAATGAGAGGCTGATGATCAGCTGGAATCTTTCCTGTGTTCTTTTGTGAATAAATTTTGTGTTTAGGATTTGCAAATCATTGCATTATGTGTTTGTTTTTTCATTTTGATTTTACAGCATGCCCTCAGTGGGTTTATTTTGGTATTCACCGACTGTCGTTTTGCTGGCAATATGTCAGTAAAGATTTTCAACATGAATATTTCATCAAGAAATATTGTTCAGTACATTAACTGAACATAGGACACTTTCATGCAAAATGATATAGATTTTCTTGGACTGGACATGCAGGTTGTGCTTTAAATACTGGTCCCCCATGACCATGTAGCTACTAAAAATAATTCTGTGTCACACATCATCAAAAAGCCAAAACACTGCAGAGAGTAAACAAACTCAAGAGCAGCACGTGTCAGTAGTTTAGTGCTTTTTATTAGAGATAAGGAGACGATACAAAACATCCACCATTCAGTATTCAGTCTAAACTCTGACCACTGGTCTTTCATATACACATCGCTCCCCATCAGACCTTCATAACACCAAAGTTTTTAAGTTGAGGAAATCCTGGTTTTAACGAGTACAAGGAATGTCTGTTCACTACATCAAATGTCATGTTTTTTCTCACCCGGAACTGGAAATATAAAGGAATTGCTCAAGTTTTGGAACCTTTCAAAAACAAAAAAAAGAACAATGGAATAACAAAACAAAGAAAAAAAATTAGATATATTTAACCGTGTTCCCCCAGAGTGTTTTTATACAGCTCCTGTAATCAAATGAATTAGTTCATTACTACACCTACTCAACTATACACACTTACAAAACTTAACTAGAAGTTTGGCAAAAAAAAACAAAACAAAACAAAAAAAAAAAAACGTAGTTGGAACAATTATCTGTCAGGATTCAGTGGTTGGGAAACTAGAAGGTTTGCTGACCGTCTCTTTCTCTGCAGTCAGTCAAATGGAACCTGGAAAGAATGAAACCCTGTCCTTAAACACGAACTGTGTGTATTTAAGTTTTAATCATCGTCATCATTTTCCTTCTTGTTGTATCTTAATGTTTTCCTTTGTGTTTTGTTCATAATCTTTACGTTGCATGAACTGGAATGACAGTCTGATTCGTTGTTGTTTTATTTTTGTTGTCGTTTTTTTAAAACTGTCACTTGACCCCAAAAACCCACCCATGATATCCCTCCCCGAGAGTCCCACGAATTGATGCTGGTTCTGCTTTTGCCCTTCTCCACACCACACTGGAATGAACAGCTAAACCCGACAGATGTGTCTGAAAGGCTTTAATCGAAGCCGGAGAAGAGGGGGAGGGATATTTATAAAGGAGCTCCTTCCAGACTGACTACCGATGAGCCACCGAGCTTTTCTGCCAGAGTGTGCCGGTCTTTAAGGTCTTCAAAACCGTTCACCTGCCATTCGTGCTTAATACCTGCAAAATAGACAGGCAGAGTTATACATCAAGGGGGGGAAAAAAAACTCAGCAGGTGAGCTCATTTGATGACAAACAAGTTTAACAGGAGAAAATATTCACTCATCCTACAAACAATGCCTGACATTTGGAAGCGTTTCAAATCCACTTAATTTTAATACAAAATGACTTAAATAACAAACAAACAAACAAACAAACAAAAACCTAAGGTGGACAGACACACAAAGTCCCAAATGAGCTCTTATAGAACTCATGGTATCATATTATCCCAATACAGCAGTCCCCTCTCAGACTGCAGCCTTACTTGTGGTTCCTGAGTTTCTAAAAAGTAAAATGGGAGCCAGATTCTTCAGCTATTAGACTCCTCTCCCAGTTGGGTTCAGGGGACAAACACTCCTCTCTGCTCATAAGATCAAGCATTAAACTTTCCTTTTGATGGTTAGAGCTGTATCAGCGGACCCTGAACCACTCTCACTGCTGATGAACTTCCCATGATGCACTGAGCCCTATTAGATGCCACTACAGCATGCCGTTAATTCTTGTCTTTTCTCTCTCCTGTAGCTTGGCCCTGTTAGTTTCTCGTGTTTTCTGCTCCTCTTTTCATTTTCTTCTTTCGTCTTCATGTCAACCATCACCAAGCCTTTGCTCATAGGGCAGTGGTTCTTAAACATTTTATGGCTTGCAAAAAAAACAAACAAAGCTCCTTCTTGTGTCACAAACCTTGTTTTTAACCTTAATAAAATACGGGGACCATGATGAGTTTAAAATCATATAAAAGCTGGGTGCGACACCATCAGCAAACTTATTGACCAAAAGAGAGCACCTCTTTATGGAAGTGCACTGTGAAAATGACCCTCTGTTCCCTCAATCTGAGACCTCAGTAAACACATCCCAGATGACTTTACAGACTTGACCACTAATTTCATATGTTAATTAATAAAACATGCAACTTGTGATCATTATTAGAATCAGAAAGCTCGTTGGCTAACAAAATGACAATCATAAGTCTTGTGCAGTGCTGGGTTTCACAGTTATATCCACCCTCACTAAACACCACAATTGCAACAGCGTCTCTACTCACCAAAAATCTTATTTTCATCTTTAAGCTCACATGTGGCCACATTTAAAGGATCCACCCATCGCATCTATGAACAACAACATCCAATACATAATTTCCCTATGGATCAATAAAGTATTGTGATACTGGGGACTGAGGGCTCGTCACTTATAATACTGACATTATTAAAACAATATTAAAACAATTAACTCAAAGATGCATTCATCCTTTGTGAGCTGAGGGCGACAGCAGAGTCAGGTGATACCCTCCATGTTGTCTCGAGAGCGTTTACATAATTCAGGTTTGAGTGTGGTTCAAGATCAAGTGTGAATACTTGTTTCTGATGATTCTCTGATCACAACCAGACACTCACCTTCAAATTTCCTCTTGATGGCATCTTTTGAGCTGGCATAGATCATCTTACTCTTCAAGGGAGCGCTATCTGGAGCCCTGTGACGTAAGGAAAACAATTTAACTCTAATGTCAATTTAATGAAGCTCAAAAACTTTTAAATGTGTAATAACGGTTGCTTTCACCAGAAGATAAAGACGAGGTCCTCCTTCTTTGTTTCTTTGGTCTCGTAGGTGGCGTCATACAGAGCATAGCGGCAATCGTTTGGGGGCAGCATCTTCACAAAGTGCTGGTATGGGTCCTGCACGGTGGTTCCCAAGTCGCCCACGAGGATCTCTTTGCCGTCGTCCAGAACGATGTTCTTCAGGTCCTTGCTCAGGCAGAACAGGATGGCCTTCTTCCTCTTCTTCTTCTCGTCCTCATTTGGCTGAGCCTTACGCACCTTCATGTCATTGAAGACCGTGATGACTTCATCTGTGACTTTCACACCGGAGGCCTAAGGATCGAACCATGTGTTAATACAGAGTCTCATATATCAAAATCACGACAGCTGCCCTAAAACAACTCTTGAAAATTCAAGTAATTCCCTAACATGCCTGAATAGCTTCAGTACAGTATATAACTCATAATTCACAAAATACGGAGCCACTAGTTTATTAAGTTCCAAAATTAAGAACAAAATGTTATTAATGTGAACTGACTAATGCCTCTACTCATCAACAAGTCTGCAAAAAATGCCTTTAACTTTTCAAATGTGAGTATTATCCACATAATAAAAGATCGATGCAGCCACTGATGTCATCCACTAGTTTATGAAGGCTTGTTATGAAGCCTTGAACTAAGCGTCTCTGCCATCACCATCTTTTGAAACCAGATGCGAAAAGCAAGAGGCGGATCTG